TATCAAATTGGGGACTATTAAAGTTTTTACTTTTTATCAATAACACAATTTCAGACTAGTCAACCGATATATAATATATTATCGTATATAATTTATGGATTTTGTAACAATATATGGACTTAAAATAGTTTAAAATCAACTCTACATGATTACTATTCGTCTTTTTACTTTTAAGATTTTACTTGGAAAACTCCCTCAAATAATTCTTGGTCTATTACTTCATCGTGTTTCCTAGTTTAAACATTGAGACATCAAATTATTAAGTTATTATTAAATTAACATGTAACTTAATTCTGAAAACAAATAACAATAATATAAAGTTATTACTCGTTTAGTAAACATTGTTAATTGTTATATCATAGGTAGGATCATAGGTTGTATTTTAAACAATGCGTTATATTATTATGTTATTATTCAGTACTGATAGTATAGGTATCAAATATACATTTTAAAAGCCCGTTTAAAATATAATACTTGTTTAATATTTTACATAAATTATGACTTATGATATTATGTAAATTAAATATAATATCCAAAACATTGAGAACTGAATTGTGTTAAGCTTAAATTTAAAATAATGTGTAGGCATTTATGTATTGTCCTTTGTGATGTATAGATATTATTTTAAGCAATAGGTAACCTATAGGTACTAATTATTTATTCAGATGAATTAATTTTTTTTTATAATTCTAGATATTTAAAACAGTAACAAGTAATATTTTAAAATTAGGTACTTATCAAAAATAATTTAAATTACATTTTTACATTTTCGTAATTTGGAAAAAATGTTAATGAAATTACATAAGGCGTTACTTTCCAAAAATGGTAGGTATATAGTATAAATTCAGATTTAAAATTGAAAACAAATGATAAAACAAATTTTTTAACAACCTATATTATATTATATTATATTATATTATATACCTAATATTATGATACATACAAAATATAAATAAAACATTTTATAGAAATTAAACTATATTATTGACTAATTTTTGGAGGGCTAATTTTAACAAGGGGCTAGCTATATAACCTATTTGTGTCTACATTTATCGTGCCGTCGGGACCTCTTAAATATTTTTAAGTAGGAGCCTCAAAATTGTGATTGTGACACTGTATAACAACTAGGTATAACCACTAATATAATAAAAAAGTAATTACATGTCAATTAATGTTGTTAATTATATTGGATAGAGACCGAATAAACAGGGTACCTAAGCAAGGAAAGTCTGGTCAACTGTGGACAGTAATTACTAACTATATATAGAATAAACTATTAATTAATCAGGTTCGGTTTTACATTCAAGAACTACGTGAATTGAGCTTTTAATTTAGGTTTTAAATATTCAACAGTAGGTACCTGCATCAATAGTACTTATAGATAAGTAATGACTATTGACAGTATAATAAGTAACTTTGTACTGACTTTTCAACTAAATTATATAGGATTTAAAGGTAGGTACTATAAAATGTATAATAAGTACAAACCTGTTAATTATTTGATGATCATTTTGGGCAAGATATTTTTAATATATTTATTTTTTTTAAAGTATTTAGATTATAGAAAACGTTTGAAACCCATAACCAAACATTATTGTTGGTTTACGGTTTTACAAATAGATACTTATAGAAATCGTAGCAAAAAATTAAGTAGAAAGAAGTGCTCTGCTGTACAGTAGGTTACAAGTGGGTCACTGTTTAATGGATGGTATTAAATTTGAATTGAATGATATAATATCATTGTATAAGAAAAACGATTCTGAGCGAAAACGGTTAGTCAGCCTATGATATTACGAAGTATATTTGATAATACTAAGGTGAATAAAGTAATTTATATATAATATAACCTATATACGTGGAATCTTGTTTTAAATTTTCAATTCTTAGCTATAAAAGTTAAACATTTTATAAATTTTTTACTACAAAATTATTATTACATTTTAAATGTGATAAATTTTGTCAAAACTTGAACTTTAAATGCTTATAAAAAAAAATTGTGCCTATGTATTTTTAATATTTTCAACTGCTATTGTAACAATATATCAGGAGCCTTGTATTAAATTTTTACACTTTTTGACCCTATAGATAAAACTTTATTGATATTCATAGAAAAAAAAAAATTAAAAACTGACAATGCGCGTAAACAGCTCAAAAAGCGTCAAAATACTACTGGAAAAATTATACTTTTGAATCCCCTAAGTACCAACTAGATTCACTTTCCTATCAGAAGAGATACTGTTGAAAAAAATCCAAGCACTTTTACCTAAAAGATGATGACGGACACAAAAATAAAAAATGAAAAAATAAATAAATCATTGTAAAATCAATATATTCATCGTTCCACTCAGAATCTAAAATCAAGTTTTGCAATATTTATTTAGATATAAAATTAACATAGGTAATATTGTAATAATACAATAATTCAAAATAGTACTCAAAATGCGTTAAAATATTATTTTTAGTATTTAAATATTAATAAATTAAGGAAATTATAGTATATCTATATACTAAAGAGTAAAGACGTATAGTAAATTTATTCAATAATAAGTACCTAATTATTCCAAATGTTAAATATTTATATTTTGTATATAACTATAGGTATGATTTCGATTTTAATAGAAATAGAAATAAAATATAAATAAATTTAGAAATTAGATTTCCGATTCATGATAACATGATAACATCGTAAGTCTATTCATAGCTACAAATGTATGTACCACGGTTTAAGATGTACAAAAGGCAAAGCACACCTTTTCGTGGCCGCCCCGACCCCCTCCGACCATGTCGTTTCCAGTCCATTGTATCTTAGTCCGTGATATGTAGGAACAATTGTCTTGTCGTATACCTACTAGTATATTGTAATTGTTGAGCTATCGTAGTTTTATAGGTACTAGTAAAATAAAAAAAATCTCAACTATGATAATATCCATGAATTCTTATTTCTCATTTTAAAATATTTCTTATCTTAAAATCTTTTAAAGCCAAGAGCTTACGGGAATTTAATTATGGTTATTCTAAAAAAAAGGCCTCTTGGGGGGGGGATATATCCATATCCATATCCATATCCCCCCCATAATTCCACCACTGGGTTAGGATATGTATTTAATACCTTTCAGTATATCACTTATAAAACATCGACTTTAAGTGTTTTTAGTCTTTGATACATCTATTTATAAGTAATGAATATTAATCATTTAAATTGTTCATACCGATAACCTTTTTGACATTTAACTGCATATTAATCTACCATAGCTCGACCATAGGTATACAGTAAAGTTTCATTAGATAATTTATTATAGACGGTATTAGATTTTTATTTGTTTAATTAATTAAATATTAATTGATTTAATATTATTTATATAGATAATGTCCATGTCCCATGGTAATATCTAACGGATAATATTCTTTGAAAAATAAATACGATTGTTTGATACGAAATCTTTGCTTAAGCTTAAATTATATAGGTAATAACAACCAAGGGATTAAACAACCAAACTAAGCTTGTTCTGTACATAGTTAACGTTCAATTATAATATTATATTCAATACCTATTGTCATTATCGTGGAAACATGGCCATATAACACATAACATGGTCAACATATTATTATGTACCAATTAAATATTGTGTGTGTATAATATAATACATACAATATACATATAGTAATATAGTAGTATATTGCTAATAATAAACTTACTATAATCTGCACCTAGGTACATTATATGATATTATATATATATATATATCATTACAATTGATTGATTGGGTCAAACAGACACAGTCATGCAAATGTAACTACTAAACGGACTGACATTAGAAATAGGTAGCTGATATGATTAGATACTAGATAGTCGTATCGATTAAGTTAATATTCTACATTTCTACGAGCTCAATGCACGCCAAGCAAACAGGTAAGTAATCAATAAGTATAATATTTTTCGGATTTAATTAAATAATTAATCAACAGTTTGTTGGTAGGTACTTACTTACTACTTACATAATCAGATAATCTGATTTCTTGAATAAAATTATTGTTAATGCTTTATTATACGCAGCATGATTCCTTTAACAGTAAATACTCTGCACTCATTATATATTGAAAAGTATCAACGTTTTTGAAAATATTAAGTGGCCCTAAGAAAGCGTGAGACGTAACATATAGAAGTTATTTGTGGGTAATTGACAATTGTTATTATTTAACTGTACCTAATCATCAGGTGTACACAATGATGCGGTATTACGATAATGACGACAAATAATAACGTGTGTGTTGCCTTCATTTCTGGGTACCTATAATAATATAATATTCTAAATTTAGTGTCTTAAAAATTATTTAAATATATGAAATATGAACGACAAGATGTAAAAAGCGAGCAAGTGGGAAACGCTGTCTAGAGAAGTCACTGCAATGGATTATGCTTTAAATTTGAATTCAATGATATAGGAAAATCATTGTAAACGAAAAACGATTCTGCCTGTCAGCTTGTATAATAATAATATTTTTAAATTACAACAAAATTGCTGAAATCGTTATTCCCTGTTTAAAATTTAAATATCTAATTTTGTTCAAATTTGAATTTAAAATATCTCTAAAAATAAACTGGGTTAATGTATTTTTTAGATTTTTTGGTTATAGTATAAACTATTTATGAGAATCCTTGTTATACATTTTCAATCTTTGGCTGTAAAAGTTGAACATTTTAAAATTGTTTAACTACAAATTAGTTTGCAAACTTTAGAGATTTTGATGATAGTATACTTAACTTATTTGGCGTTAATTATTGAATTATTATCCTCGATTACCACTGATAAGACTGTGGTCCTATCCATATTATCTTTATTATCTATAGGGTGATACCACAATCATTGTTATCAGTTATAATTTATCTATGGATTTTACTCAATTTTAGTATTTTACCGACTTTTTCTAGTGTTTTGTGTAATTGTGTATATTATCTACAATTATTTAAAATTAAATGGCATATAACATAAGAGATTATAATGAGCAATGCAATTAAAATGCCAAAAAAAACTATTAGCTTGCATGATATTTGTAAGAAAAATTCAAAGATTCCAATTACGAATCCTGGATACAGTAAGTACTCTCATTAGAACAAGTATATTGTTTAATAACTGTTTCCTAGCATAAATTAATTAATAATAAACTACATCATAATATATTATTACCTTATGAATTTACATTGCTTTAATAATATAATATGTAGCTAAATCTAAAAGTTAAACTAATTGTTTGCTTCATTTTGACAGAATCAAGCAAGATAGGCAACCAAATGAAATCTCTTGAATTATTGACTATAAAACCAGAAACAGATCCAGATAATTCATTAACATGTTCTAATATTTCAGTTCCATCAACTGCTACAGAGTTGACAGGTGGCTTAAAAAATAAACATAATGTTCTAAAAACAAAAATTTTACTGTTTATATTTATTTTTTAGAAACATCATCTCTAGAAAAATCAAATTCAGCTGAATCTTCTTCATTGATATTAGATACATTCAGTCAGTCATCAGGTATGGATACCCTACATTTTTAAATTTATTAAATAATTAAAAACATTAATATAGATAAGGTCAGAAAAACTTAATTAAACCAATAAAGATTTTTAGCAATGAAATTGTGGTCAGAATCAACTCAGTTTAATTTTTAAAATGACCATTAATTATTGATATATAAAAAAAAATTAAAACATCAAAAATAATTGATAATTTATGAATTAGTAATTGCTTAACCTAATCTAACTCAGATATTATGTAATAGTTAATACAACTATTATTTAATATTTTAACACCAAGGATTTTGGTTATATTTTATTCATGTACATAAATAATACACTTTACTCATTGATATACTTGATCAATTAAACAAAGTTAATGCATTAAAATGGTGTACTGTTCTCTTAATTGTCATTAAAGATTGATCCAATGCTGTTGTCACTTCTTAACTTAATAATCTAGTTAACTGCACAATAGTATAATTTCAATATTATTGGATGATTTAAGCTCAATATTTGGGATTTTTTTTAATAAATATATATTACTCCCATTATTCAATTTTTTTGTTCTTAATATTACTTACAGCTTTGATACTTTGACCGTTAATTAAAATGTTTAATAACATCCTTCTATTTTTTAATAAGTTTGATAATTGAAGAACCCATCTCCAAAGTAATCTTTAACTAACACTATTATTAACAAGTTTCACAGCTTCTTCACAACAGCGTAACTTTGGTTTATTTTTGGAGTGGGTTATATAAAGTATAAACTATATTTTTAGGAATAAACTAAACTATTACTTATTATTTATTAACCATTTTCAAATATTCAAAACAATAATATATACAGAAAATTGTTTGGTATTGCCTATCAATTATAACAGTAGTTCTCAACCTTTTTTGATTCATGTCACCTTTAGCCACTAGAATCAAACACTGCATCACCCTAACATCAAAATAATAAACAATCTTAGCTGCATATTTTAAAATTCTTCTTTTATTAGGTATGTTGTGTACATGACAGTGGTGGTATAAGTGTATAATATATTTATTATAAGAAATAATATGATTGTTTTCGAAAATTTTTTTTTTTTTATTTTTTTCTTTTTTGTTAAAATTCTGCGTCACCCCTAAGCTAAGCTAGGTCCATGTCACCCTAAGGTGACATGTTACCCCGGTTGAGAACTACTGAATTATAATATGATTGTGATACCTAACCTAAGTTAATATGTGCCCGACTGCCTTAAATATAACTATAATACTTTTGTCCTCAAAAGATTTTTTAAATATTTTTACTTAAAAGATAATAAAAATTTTATAAAATAGATACAATATGAAAAGTATTTAATAATTCTCTTTTCATTTCAAAATTTAAATATTAAAAAAAAAATCTCCAAGGAATACACATGTTGATCTTGTATTAAGACTAACAGAACTAAATGTGATTTGCTAAGTACAAATGTGCTATAGTGTTTTCATAATCTTTATACTTTTTCAATTCGTTATCAGTCGATATGCCTTCAGTAATATTCATGCTCCATAGCTGTGGATAATATAATATCATCTACACTTTTACTTCTGTGGTCTTAATAATCAATATTGGTATGACACATACTGGTATACAAATACCTAGAATTTCGTTTTAGGTATATATCAAAAATTGTGAATATAACAAAAAACATTTTGGATAGTGTAACTTTTAACGGCCCCTACCCAATGGATGCACCACTGTTGACACAGCTGTGGAATGAAAAAAAACTAGCCAAGAATAACAATTTAGCCAAACCATTTAAAATTACAGTCACCATCTTGTTTTAATCGGAAATGATTGTAATTAAATAAATAAAATATAAAATAATAACTATCTTAAGGGTGTCGGTGCCAGTCATTTATTAAGGAGTACAATTTAGGCAATTCAATTCACACACGCAGATAAAGATATTTACTCACAAATCAATGCTAGAATTCGATGACTATTATCGAAGCATTATTTTGATGAACAAAAATGGCTTCACAGGAAAAACTCATGCCTCGTAGATATTTCGGATTTTGGTCAATTTTTTTTTATCAGAAAGATGAAAAGTTTCTGCAGGTCGGATCAAAGCTTGAATTTTTTTTTAACTTTAAATAGTAGTAGAAAAATACGTTTGAAAAAGGATAAATATTGTGCATTTTTCAAATGCACATTCCAGCTTCTATAGTTATAATTTTCAAAATCGGGCTTTGATCCGACCTACAAAATGTTCTCTACTTTTAGATAGAAGTTACTGGGAGTGAGAGTTTTTCCTGTAAGAAATGTTTTTGTACCAAAAAACGCACCGGCTCCAACCCCCTTAAGTTATCCAATACTCACAATTTCTAAGAATTTATAACCATATGTATATATTCCTAAATTGATTCAAATTTACAATATTGGCCAACAATATTTCTAATAGTATATTAATACCTATAGGTTTGCATACAAAATATAAAATATCATAGTACTTAAGTTTTATAATTATTAAGATATAGACAGTATTATTTTTGATCAGTAAACTAAAAAACATAAAATGATTGTACACTATATTTTAGTTATATACTTACATAGTAACATAACATAACAATACATTTACACAAAAATAAATTAAATTATTATTAATAGTGATACTATTTAATAGGTAAAACATTTTACTAACAAATCATACGGGTTATTTCAGCTTTTAGATTTTTTTGAAGTTATATCGGTATAAATATTATATAGAACGCCTATTCCAATGATTCCTACAGCTGTTCCTTGAGCTGCTAACCGTAATTGAATAAGGTACAATGATGTACGTCCTTGGCGAGATTTAAATTTGTAGAGTCCATAAGCTGCTACTAATCCAAATCCCAATATTCCTGAATTTCAAATAAATGCATACAATATTATAAACTTAAATATAGAATAAAATTTTAAATATTACATACCAACAGGATACAAGGGCATCTGTTGAGATTTTTTGGTGAATCTGCTAGAAAAAGAATTATCTTCCTCCATGATTTTGAATATTCAAACTTAAAATTTACTGAAATATAAATAAAATTAATATAAACCAGTATACCTACAAATTAAATAATTACTAAAAAGTTAAAATTGATAACAGAGTTTAGTTATGACGTAATCTTTCAATATTTTATAATACATTCTCTAGGTTATAATAAGTTAAAATTAAAGTATCTACAAATAAATGATGCTAATTTATTGAGAATTTCTAAGAACTTCAAAATCTTTTTTATTCTGTAGAAAAAAATCTAGTTTTAAATTATTTACTCAACGAAACAAAATATAATTCTGAGCTGTTTAAATTAAAATAATTAATCAACAATTGTTCATATTTTATTCAACATTTAACTCACATTTTCTTTATTTTTTTTTTTATTTTTCACCTATTTATCTACAAATGGTATTTAATTTTTTTTCTCAAATTTAATATTCTTTTGATCAGTGGCAGTTTTTAGATATGTTAGGATGGACAGCCTCTGGGACAATCTATCAATATTTTTTATGCCCAGCTGTTAAAATGTATATGTAGGTAAAAATAAAAAATAAATCAAAATTTAAGTATACGTTAAGAGATATTTATTATAATATGTATTAGATTTTTTTTTAATCATTTTCAATCTAGATTAGCCTAAATATTATCGTGATGACTGCAATTGTTTGTTTGTTTAGAACACGATGTAGAAAAGATATTTTCTCTATATCGTGGTCTAGAAATTGAATCGGTTGATTAGTACCACAATATACTGATATGATACATTAATTTTTTGATAGTAAAAGGAAAAAGTGAATAATGAAAATATGATCAAATTTAGTTGAAAGAAGTGAGGAAGATAAAAAAAATGAGAACTAGAAAGTTCATAGCCTATAGCTCCCTTGTAAATAAATATACTCATCCTTTCAAAATTAAAGTACTAGAACCGCCCTGCCCTTGTTAATCGAATGCTTGATTCTTTTATTTATTTTCAGATTTCATAATTTAATTCAAAGTTTTACATTTATACTTAGTTGTGTTTTAAATTAACTTTTATTTGTAGGTAATGTTCTACATCAATATATCTCTTTAACCTACTATTAAAGACTAATTTTTGATGAATATAATAATAATTAATGTAAAATACAAAATTAAAATTATGAAGAAAAATATTGATGTATACGAAAATCGCGTTTGAGTTCGACACTGAACATAAAAAATAATATACCTATTATAATAGCCAATAGGTATATTTATTTAAGATAAACTATAATGGTACTCACCAAGTATCCGTTCTCGGAAAATAAACCAATAGAGTGGTTCTGGTAACGTTAAACTAGGAAATTTTATCTTAACTTGTACTAGTTGTACTAGGTCATAGTGTTGTGATCTTGAAACTTCAGTCTTCTCAACGGCAATCTTAGTAACATACTACTATAGTGTCGACTGTCGATTGAGATTTGACCGAGGCGCCAGGCGCATGACGCATTTCCATTTTCCACTTGCCTTGTATTGTGCAAAAATTGATTGCATATCTATCTGTAATAGACAATAGTATTTACTGTTATCACTTATCATCGTTCCGTGATTTTAAAGCATATCAAGTTGATAAACATTTGCGCCTTAAATCATAAATTATATTAATATCTATGCCTTAAATAATAAATTAATAACAGATTTATTAATTTATATTTTATTACAGATTACAAAACATTCATCATTGTTCAATTTTCTTTGTTTTTAATTATATTAATATGGTGTTACGGAAGCGCAGTAGTTGTTAAGTCGAAATGTCGAGTTATTGAATTGAAATTACGAGGGAATATTGTTTTCTATGTGGCACTACTGCGCTTCCGTATGGTGTGGCGCGTTAAGCGTCTACAGAAAATTGATGAAAATTTCAAAATAGTTAAAAGTTAAAACGGTTTTAAATAAAACCATAACTCATAATTCATAACAGAATGTATTTAATTAGTCATGTTTTATAAGTTAAAAGTGTTAAAACTTAAAACTTTAAAATATGATGGCTTCAATTGCTCAAATGTTATTTATTATTATGAATCCCTCTATTTCAGATACCTACCTCCTGGCTCTTAACTCTCGGCATGATGTAGATAAAAGATTAATATAAAATGTATTTATATAAAAAATTATCTTTTTTTATATTTAAGACTTAAAATTGAATACAAGATTCCTCATAAGTTTGTCTACCTTTAACAAAAAAACAATTTACTGGAAGGTCAAGTTCATATATGATATAATGTAAGATGAACTCTACATACTTAGGTTACCTTAGTAATTACTCGTTACTTCACACTTATACACGATACACTCATGAAACTTACTATACTGCTGCAGAGCGCAAGAACAAGTTCCCTAGTTTTGGAACAAATTCACTTTAGCTACCTAGCGAGTTTTTGGAATTTTTTTCGAAATATACGTATTTCGACGAGTTAAGAACAATGGTGAAATCACAATTTGCGCAATCAGCTAGTTATTTACTCGATTCTAATATCCCCCGATTTGCTGTGTAAAACCACCTTGGGTAGGCCTCGGAATTAATCAATTAAACAAAGTTGTTATGGCCAGTCTGTTAAAATCACATCAGTATATCATAGTGGCTCCGGTCGCCAAACTCAAGGTCTTCCTCGCGACATTAAGTAGTGTTGCGCACATGCGTATTAAACCTAAAATCGAAAATTTTGGATGGCTATAACTTTTGGTTAATAAATAATGGTTTCCTCAAATTTTTTTGCATCATCGTTCTTAACTATTTGAAATACGACTATTTCGAAAAAAAATTCCAAATATATGCTGGGTAGCTAAAGTTAATGGCCTAGTTTTATTGACATTTTAACATTTAACATAAATTATTAATTAGTATGAAAATACTCATTCTAATATTCTATTAAGCCCTTAGCATAGACGCAAATTGCAGTGCCACAGCGCACAGTGGTGCTTAGAGTGTTTAGCATCTTAATTCTAGTCTCTAGTCTAGAGCTAGCAATATACACGTAATATATTGGTACCAGGTATATATTATGGCGTTAGTAAATTGATTGTTGGTTGTAGGTATTTTGGTGTTTCAGTATTTAGGGATGTGTCAGGGCCTATTTCCACTACAATATTTTTGGTGCTTCTGCACCCACCACCCTTAATACTTTTGGGTGATTTGAACCTATGGGCTATGACTTTTAAAATGCTTATATTATAAAGCCATAACATTTATTAGCATTAGTTATTCAGAACATTGTCCTATATAAAATAATACTTTTTTTTCTTTTAAAAATATTTTTTGTAATCTTATATTTAAGTTTTATTATTTGTTAGATTTGTAGTATTGAATTTTAAAATTCATGATCTGATATAATAATTGAAACTTATAATTTTGATATTTGGTCACTATATTTTTACCCAGGTTGGTTTACCTGAAGTTAACAGACTCAAAAAATGTTGTAGCGTTTTCAATAAAATGTTATACCAAAAGATTCCCTGAAACTTAAAGGGTTTTTGTAGTTTATTTTTTCAATCCATATACCCGGATAGCTAAAAGGTAGCCATGCATTTTTTCCGCTCACGAATAAAGAATATTTTTTTTGTTAACTTATAGGTTTGCCATTGGTCACATATAATATTATTAGGTGTTATAATAGAATTATCTCAAATATAGTAAATACATTTTATTACAAATATTTTTATAAAAAAAAAAAACATATCTTTGGCACGGGCAACGCTAGTAACAAATGTCAAATATAATTTATAAACATTTAAGTAGAATACAATCATATCCCACATGACTAATAAAGGATTAAGAAAGAATAGTATTTTATTGACTTATAAAATTATAATTTCTAATGAGTGATGGTTATTTAAATACATTTACATTATACTTGAAATTTAAGTACATAATAATATTATGTTCTTAATATAGTACTAAATATAATATATTTTAACAAATTACAATGCAAAATGAAAATTATTGAAAAAAGGTCATGTTTATATGTTTTTAAAATTATTTGTTTGATTTTCAGCATCAAAATTAATACGCAGAAAAATACCAAGAGCTGGTCACTTAATGACTCCACGGCACTTATGGATCCAATCAATTCCACCCAAAGTAAATAAATATATAATTAGTCCATAGTCAACTATAAAACAAAGCTGATGTAAAAATTATCAACATAATGTTATAAATAATTTTTTTTTTATTGAGAAAACAATATACAATTATAGTTTATAATAAAGTAATTATAGTTATCAATCTCTTATGTATATTATACAATATATTATAATGTAGAAGATGAGCCACCATGTAATCGTTTACGCACTCCTATACTCTTTTCAGAATAAGAAGGAACCAGGCGGCCACGAACAAAACCGGTTTTGTTACGTAAATCTGGTGCGTTCTTATTCTGAAAAGAGTATAATATAATTTATACTAAAAAAAGAAAAATCAGTTATCCCTCTATATAATATACTATTTAGTATTTAGGTACCTATTCTAATAAAATATTTTTAAAAATTATTATTTATAATTATTTTTTTATTAATTGTAGGCTTGCGATGTGGTTTTAACATTCACCAAAACTACAGACTTTAAGACTATCGAATGGGTAAAATCACTAATAGTAGACGAGTCGAATGGTTTCAGTTTATCTGTGAATGTCCAATATCATTCATCGACCGACTCGTACTGTTTTTACTTGACAGCTTCTTTTCATGTGTAAGGTATTTGTTATGAGTGATCTAATAATATGTAAACATAATTCCATTGTTATTATTTAAAGTCTAATGAAAGCAGCTCAAGATGTACATTTACCAAAAAAAATTATTGGTGGTGGTGGCCTAAGAGAATTTATACTTTCTGAAATGAATATGTTTGAAGGAATCGAGGATCATTCAAATTTTTTCACTATGCAAGAAAGGCAAACATTGATTTTATATATCTTAAATACACACAGGGTACAAAATTGTGATTGGCTCACAGAACTAGTTGAAAGCCAACCATTAAGTAATGCTATTTGGTTTACATAAAATATATTTTATTTGTTTATTAGGTATTATATAATTATTAATGACAGTCAGTATATATTTTTTTACAGTTTCAGAATGTATGTCAAATGGAATAATTGAACATTTATTCCCAGTTCATGAGAATAAGACATTAAAGTGGTTGCGTATTATCTGGGTAAAGTCCTTTTTCAGCTTACAACCTTTGGATAAGGTTTGTGATTATTTTGGTGTCAAAATTGCCATGTACTTTGCATGGATTGGACACTACACTGGTTCATTAATATATCCAGCTATTGCTTATTCCACATTTTGGGTAAATATATATATTTTTATAGAATAAATAATGTCAACAAATAGTTAAAATTTAATGATGAATCTTATCAAATAGTTTGGGTTTGGAAGACAACTGGATCAATGGACAGAAGGAGTATGGTTTGTTGTGTTGGCCTTTATGAATGTTCTCTGGCTGACAGTATACTTAGAAACATGGAAACGCTACTGTGCTGAATTAGCCTATCGATGGGCTACACTAGATCAAAGACATCAGCTTCTGTTACAACCTCGTCTAGAATTTAAAGTAAAGTTTAACAATGATTTATAAACTATAATATTTTATCAACATTATTTGTTCTATAATTATTTTTTTGATTTAACTTATTTTTAGGGTCATCCGCGAATTAGTCCGATAACTGGTAAAGCTGAACTATGGTATCCAAATTGGAAACGAAGGCTGTTCAGTTATTTTGTCAGTGCACCCATCATTGGTCTATGTTTGGCAGTAGTCTTTGTTTTAACAATATTACAAATAAAATTACAAGTAAATTTATTTATTTTTCGCCCTTGATTAATTCTTAAGTGATAATTACATCAATATGAATTATAATCGCATATGGTTTAAATATTTTAGGACTGGTGGGATTCATATATTGAAACAAACGAATATCCAACATATTTAAGTTACATTTCCAAAATTATGTTAGCCCTTATCATCGCTGTGCTTGATGACATTTACAACATTATTGCCGTGTGGCTGAATGATTGTGGTAAGCTGTTTTTAAAATGTTTTAACACTGTCGTATTGAATAAACTTTTACACGTGCAGTAAATATAATTTACAAATTATGATTAAAATTAAACTTGTTAAATGGACCATTATCAAAAATAGTTATTAAAAGAAACAGACTGGTTTCTATTGAATTTGTTCATTCTTTATGTACACATGCTGCATTTAGAAAACTATAGGCTGGACACTGAATACGAAAACCAGCTGATCATCAAAGTTACACTGGTTTGTACCCGTTTAAAAATTACTATTGTTAATAAAATATTAATATGAGAATAATAGATATTTTCAATCGACATACCAAGGGGTGGCTATATTATTGTATATTATTAATTTGTGCGAAATACACATCATGTTATTGTATCATATCATTAATGTATAAATTGTTTTTAGTTTCAATTTGTCAACTCGTTTCTGTCTCTTTTCTACATCGCTTTCTATTTGCAAGACCAGGAAAGACTTAGAACGGTAAAAAAGTTTATTATTTATTTTACTGAATGTTTTGCAACGCTCTCTCTTATGAACAATGCATACAATTTGACATGCAGCAATTGGCCGTGCTTCTAATCACCAGACAGCTAATACGCAACATCAAAGAGTCGGCGCTCCCTTACGTGTTAGAGCAAATCCGTTTCGCCAAAATCAGCTTTGACCTGTTTGGTGCATTGACACCATCCGACGGCCCGGCCAAACCGAACGGCGAGCGTGTCGTGTCACAGCCAGAACTTGAGTGTTCAATGTTTAAAGTAAGAACTTTTCCTATTCCTCTTGGCATGATACTCACTTGAGTTAACTTCCTAAGAAAAGTTTTAAGTTGTATACATTTAAAATGTTCTTCAGAAAATATTGTATGTATGTCACCCTCTCATTGTATTCCCACAGCATGATTTATATGTTAATTTTTAATTATACTTTCATGTTATCCAATATACGTAAATATGAAACGGATTATAATAATAGTATAGTGAATTATAGTCCTTTACAATACTAATATATTAGTAATTATTAGTATCATTCATACAAAAGTAATTACTATAATAATAGTAAGTAATTATTACTTATGATAATAAGTTAAATGGTTCAATTTTAATCAATTTATATTATATTTTGTTGTCTAAATATAATATATAGTAGTTATAAATTGAGTAACCATAATATTTTAGGGAGGACGCCACACCATAATGTGTGGTCTTCATCTTACAAACGTGCAGCATAGCAACTGCTTTTGTTCTATTTTTTTGTAATAACTCAAATTTGTTGTGTTGTATCTTGTACATTTGTAAGATGGAAATAATACATACTGGCAATGCTATTTTCCATTTGGAAATCCTCTTAAAACATATATAAATAAAATTTTATAATAATATGCAAAGACTATGAGTTTAAACAGTTAATAATTACTCCCTCTCCCTAAAATGGTTCTAGAGATCGCCCTGCCAAACCATAGGACAAAATTAGGTACATTTCCCGATTACTCATCGAAATTCTGATAAGTAATAGTGTTTTATAGTTTTTACTCAGTCTAAAAGTAATAAGGTGAAAACTTCTACAAATATAATCCTTTTCTACATGTTGTAGCATGTCGAAAATGTTCGGAATTAGGTTGTGTATAAAATGTCTGTTTAGCATCTTTATTGTTTACTATTCTTAAAATCACAAACTTCCCGTTTTGTTCATGTAGTTTGATGGTACGTTCTCCGAACACTTGGAGATTTTCATCCAGTTTGGTTATGTGGTAATGTTCTCGTCAGCGTTCCCTCTGGCCGCCCTGTGCGCGTTCCTCAACAATCTGATCGAAATACGTAGTGACGCATTCAAAATGTGCTACGTATACCAAAGGCCATTCGGTCAACGGATCAAGGACATCGGAATGTGGCAGGTACTAAGCGGAGCGTATTTCATCGCTCTATACAATATTATATTTTATGCTATAAACCTACAGACAATTTTTTTGTTGTTCTTTCTTTCTGCACAGAACATTATGGAAGTGATGGGTTTCATCGCAGTGCTTGTAAACTGTGCCCTGATCGGTCTCAGTGGTCAAGTCCACCGATTGCTGCCCGACATGACAGCGATTCAAACAGTCTTGTTGATCGTCGCACTCGAGGTTGGTTGATACTTCAAGTCATATTTTATAATAATATATAGTACTGCAGTAATTGTAGGCATTGCCAACTTGGTAATGTTTGTAGAGGCCATTTTTTATTCATGCAATACCCCCAGTCCCCAGCCTGAACACACCATCCCTAATGACACGTATCTAGTGGGCAATGGTAAAGGGGATACGGACACTCTAAGTCCCAAAATATATCCTCTCTTGTGTAAATAGATGTGCCATATTTCTATCTTTATAGATCCACACAATCCACTCCCTTAAATAACCTTCGGTACTCGGTGCCCCAATGCTACTGCCGTTATGAGTGTATGACGGTATGTAGTACGAGTTAAACTAATTAAATGGCCTCAATTTGAATTAATTGTAGTCAATTTTTATAAAAAAAAAAGGAATAATTTGAAATATTTATATCAATACATTTTTACAAAATAATCTAAATTGTTATGTTTATGAATGCTTTGATTTGAAAGTTTTTAATTTTTTTTTATAATAAGTCATTAATAATGACTAATATTAAACTTTCAAACTTACTTTATATATAATATAAATAGAGCCCAGTGGCGGATCCAGTGCTTAATTTTTTCTATTTTTGTGGGGGGAAGTACAAAATAATTAACAACATCAATATTATGGTCATCCACTATAGTGAAAAATACGGGTTACAACATAGGGCAATTACGGTGCTTGGGAAATAGGATAAATACCGCATTTACCCCCTACAGATCCGCCATTAGTAGAGCCTCTATAAACTCCATAACATCACCAAAGTTGACTACATATTAATTGTACACTGAACTATCACAGAATAGTTTAAATTTGTTTTTACTCTAAAGTTGTTCATAATAAGTACCCAAGGAACATTGTTATCAAAATACCACCCACTATAAAATAAACAAAATCTTATAGCCGCCCACTGTATATGACTACACCTGGTGACATGTTTTAATAATATATCTCTTTACTTTGCAGCACATAATGTTGGCTTTCCGATGTGCGCTAAGCTGTCTGATCCCAGACGTACCACAATGGATAGCCACTGAAATGGCTAAGACCGAGTATATTAGACGCGAAGCAGCGTCTTCCAAGTCTCAGTGAAAAGGAGCCATCAATGATGGATTAAATGGATCTCACCGATTTTGTATAAACATTTGTTTTAAACTGATGTCGAACGCTTGTTATTCTATAGTGGGTCTATCACTGCGCAAATTGTTTATGGACACTGCCACGCTGGCCAAGCACACACTTTATGTATACGCTAGAACAGCGTTCGCTGTAATAATTTGGCCATAATTTAAATAATTTGATAAATTAATATTTATTACTTCGTCCATTTTCGATCACCATATTGTTTTCATACGTTTTATTATATATTTATATTATCACGTAATTTCTATTCCTACATATTTGAATATATCCATTAGTTTATACTTTATAGGTATTTACAAGGATTTCCGCGTCATGTGCAACTGATGTACCTACTTACCTGCACAGTACAGGACAATTGTTATTATTAGTGAATAAGGGTAGTGAATATAAAGCTATAGTTGTTACTTGTTATATTTACCAAAATATGTTTATAATTTTAATTGATTTAAAATAATCTCTTTGATAATATCTCGTTTTCCTATATGATGTTATTCTCTTTTTATATTATGTAACTATGAATTTCCATTACTTTTCGCACGCTCGGTTATGCAACTTCGTTCGCAAATAAAATAATTCATTTATCATAAGAAGTTTCTTATTTATTTGTTCCGTGTTCATATTTATACAACATCTTATTTTATTTACTTGTGTGTATATACTCTTTATTATATTATATACACTTATAATTACTATACATACTACTTATATATATATATACAGGGTGATTCTTTTATCAAACAACTACTTACTATTGAAAGTGTTGTTTGATAAAAGAATCACCCTGTATATATATTTATTTATTTAATGAAGTTGTATTTATTCATGTTTATGATTGATATCTATTGTTATTTTGAAACTAAATACAAGACTGATCTCTTTGAATCTACTATTATTTTGTTATTTTTTATTTTTATATTCAATTTGTTGAATCTCACGATAAAATATAATTTCATAGGCACAACAAAAAAAGCAGTTATACCACTGTATTCTACACTGCAGTAATGTACCTATTCTGCCTATAGAATACGCTGGACAAAACATTGTGTGTTTGCTCGAAGTACCTAGGTATAACCTTATCCTTATGTAAAAGGATTTATATATTACTTGCTGTATTACCCGCCGGATACATAAATGAAACCAAAATGGGTAATCTACTTGTGGTGGATAGTAACAATAAATAAGTAATAACTTATACCTGCACCTTTAAAAGCAACGTGATTCCCATTTAATTTTTAGAATCCTTAATACATTTCATCCATTTTTATAAATTTTTTAATATATTGAAGGAATATATATATATATATATATGGACCTCTAACCATAATTTTTCATTTATTTTAATTTGTATAATAGAATTTGGTTTGTAATTCAAAGTTGACTGTAGCCTCCAACTCTTAGCTGAATTATGTTTTTAATATTTTTTTTTACATCTTAAAATGTTTTGGGAGCTCATATTCCCAGTTCAATTTTTTTTTTATAAATTTAACTCTAGTTGACTTTTTAAACTTTGACATGCTATTAAAGTGGAGCCTCTGATTAATCATTCGATAATAAACTAATTACGCTGTGAGTAATTTTTTGGGCTTGAGAAGTTTGAGACTGCTGTAGTCTTCAGTATATTATGTGTAATATAAAATATTTAGTATACTATTATTAATAACAAAAGATAATTCATTTCGGTGGTCCATATAGAATGCGAGATGGTGCAATCATAGGCGCAAATAGGGGGGCTTAGCTTACGGTTGGTTCGGAACGAGCTTGTATATGGGGCGAGGAAACTACTAAACTAGGTTCCTACTAACTAAGAACCCGGGCGGTCGACGCCGGCCGATATAAAACCTCAGAACACGTTAGTGACTGCGGCCAACCACCATGCCACACCAGGCCCCAATCGCATCTATTTTTAATTTATTAATTTTTAGGTTCAACCCTCCACCCTCCTCCCCCATGAACACTTTACAAACACAATAGTTGTACTTACAATATAATTATAAATTATAATAATTTATTGGGAACAAATCTAGTTGAGCACCCACGCAAATTTTTAAATTTTTTTTTGTCGGTAACCAATGCGTATAATATTACAAGTTACAACGAATTAAGAACGATATTGCAGAAATCATTAGTTCTTAATTGAAAACGACGGGGAAGTCTGAATTTGGCGGACTGACTTATTTTAAAGTAGGTATAGCTAGGTAATTGAAATTTTTGGTATTTTAATATGTAACCGGCGTAGTCACTCGTACGCTGCGCTTGCACGGACAATTAAAATCAAAAACATTCCTCGACTTGTTATGTAAAACCACCATGGGTGGGCGATGGAATTATTTTTGGACCATAATTTTTAAAACGTTGATTTGCCTAGGTTAAAAAAATAATTACTTTAAGCTCGGAATCTAAGCTTTAAGCTGTACGGGTGCGTAAAACACCGAAAATCGTGAACTTCGTAAGGCTATACCACAAAAACTAATAATTTCCGGCAATTAATTTTTGCATCATATACATCTTAACTGGTCGCAACACCAAGATTTCAGAGAAAAAAAAATGGCCGCTTAACTAGATTACAACACTAAATTGAAAAATATATTTTAGGGGTTTTAAGAAATTGTCTTCAAATAATCACATTTAATTATTGTGTATATAGTGATATTATCGGTAGGTAGGTTAAGTTTCTATTTTATAATAGATCAATAGATCAATTTTTTTATTTAAATCCCGGTAGCCGAGTTTTGGGCAAGTACCTATAATCTATATGGCTATATAGGTAACTTATAATAATTCATACTGTAATTTAATAGAATGTCTATAAACTAGCGGACCAGTTTTGCATGGGTATAGTTACATTTGGCATGCGAACTACAACTGAAATAGAAAACCAGAATAGAATGTACCTATCACAAAGATTTCTGTAAAAGTACATACGATTTATCAATATACCGTATAGGTTCTGAGTATAATATATAAGTTCTATGTGGATTTATCATAGTAATAATAATATATTTTATAATAATATCTATGGCAATCGTCAATTGTCGACATTCGTCGGCGACGATTAACAATTCTAATAATTTCAGTGCACAAAAAAATAATAAGCCATCAATATAGACGGACAGTTCGTTAAGCCGTATATATTATAATGTAAGTTTTAGTACAAACTCGCACATTTCGTTATGACCGGGTTATTTTCATAAAATATTTCGATACTTTCAAGTTTCAGTTCGGAGCGAGATGATGATGGATGAAGATAGCCGTTTCTTCGGCGACGGCGGCACTCTAGCGAGATTTCACCGGAAGAGTCGATGTTTACGCGTGAGTTTGTTTTCATATTATTACTATTTTACATTTACTTTAAGACTTAAATTAAATATTTATTGCCAAGGACAATCTGTTAACTGGGTGACGTAGAAGCATTTATAAGTTTAATCCTAAAAGCGCAATGTATAAAATACGGGAGACCGAACGGCGAACAGTCTCTAGGCCGTCTTCGTTTCACCACGCCAAGTTTAATACGTACCTTTTTGCATATTATACTATACGCCGGGTATCACCTTAGGTTTGCGCGAAGTATTTAAAACAATATAATGTTATCAATCTTCATATTTTGTGTACATAAATACATTACACAATTCATGTATTTTATTAACATAGGTACTCACACCTTTTTTTATGTAGTTTATACCCTAGATGGCTAGATATAGCTGGTATTAAATGTCTTGCAATTATATATTTTACTATAATTATTATTTTCCATTATAATATAATATAACAATACACTTTAAATTAAATTAGTTGTTATCAAGACAGACAGTCTTAAAACAAACTCTTTTCCGGACGTTATCAAAACGGATTATGCTTAAAAAAATTGCACAGTTGTCGTAGTAGTCAGTTACTAGATCAACCCGTGTGACATAAAATAGAAATTATTCTTGTTTTTTTAAATAATTTTTTCAAAAAATATACGTAATACATATGGCTCATACAATTAAGAATCTTTAGTTAGTAGAAATGCGGATGTTTATACTTCTTAGATATTTTTTTATTGAAATCTTGTAAATAATTTAATTAAACGATCGGGTAGTATACATCACTAGTATACATTTTATTATATTAAAATCACAGGCTAATATTTCAGTCTGAATTATTATTAACAAATAAATACAAACAATAGATATTTTAATAGCTTTTTATTATTAAAATTCAGTGTAAATAGTTTCTGATCGACTTATATGTAAGTAGGTACCTTCTATAAAATAATTATTCATATAAAAAAATCCTAACAATTTAATGCAGGGATTCTCATAAATTGATCTTACAGCAGCCTTAAAACACCAAAAATACATTTGTACATCATTTATGCACTACGCCTACCAAAATACAAATTTTACATTTTAGTTCCCTAGCATGGTGTAGGTACCTACCTATTTAATACAAACAATAAATTATTATTCGAAAACACAATGTCGTATACCTATTATTATTTACTAAATACCTAAACCTAAACTAAAAATAAACATATGATTACATTCTGAGTGAAAAAAATATAATATTATACATGAAAATTGAATCTATATTACCAATACTTATCGTTTACACAGACCACAATAAAAAATAATTAAAAAAATTAAAAAATTAAAGAACACATCATTGTAAAATTAATACAGTCATCGATCTGCTCTCAGAATCTAAAATCTAAAATATATCCGATAAATTTAAAATTAACATATTAAATCATTATTATTAATTTCGTATTCAGCAGTATTCGGAGAAAATGACAGACTTGGAATTTTACAATCTAGTTTGTATTATAGTCGGTACTGTAAATTTGATGCATTTACTGAGTATACCTATACCTTTATATTAACTCTAAAATCCAGTAATTACATTTTTATTTAATGATTCATAAAATATAATATGCTTTTATAAAAATATGCTTGTACCTACTTCTACTT